ATAACCTAATATGAGCCAGGATCTCAGAAACTCCTAGAACTGGGTCACTTCCTTAGGATTTCTTGCAGAATCCAAATCCAGGCCCTACTCTTAATTCACAAGAAACCATTTAATATAGTCTTCAAACCCAAACCTGTAGACTAAATCAAAAGTTGGGCCAAAGAACAAATACACTCTCACCTGGCTTCTAACACCTTCACTCTTTTTATAGCTATTTCGTAATAGTACAGACTTTCTAGGCAGCCTATTACATGAAATAAACTCATAAATAATTGACATAGTCAGAACTACAGATGGAAGAGAATTATCTGTAGCTCAGGGTTAAATTACCCAACTAGGTAACATCATCATGTTACCTAGCTGGGTAATAAAACATCTGCAAGCAAACAACCAAGATCAGAGAACATCAAGGCCTCTGTAATAAGAACTAGAATGCAATTAGAATTTTGCCAAAAAAAGAAGGAATCATCTGTTGTTTAAAAAGCCACAACACTTTTTATCCTCCACCACCATCACCTCCAAGAAAGTTTTCTCTGAGGGAACTTCTGCTCTTTTCAGGAACTTCTCAAATTTCCACACAATTTGACACACACACTCATGCAGCAGGCGGCCTTAATTTGGGGTAGATACACATGAGCAAAAATTGAAGCTTTTTTTCTTAACCCCACAGTTATTCAGACAGCTGATTACAGCCAATTATTATGAGATAACAGAGAATCTATTTATTGTAGTTGGATAAGATATGGGAAGAAACAATGACTCTCCACCAGTTAAGAGAAGTTGTATAAATATTTTGACACCGAGCACTCAGAGTGAGTATTTTGCACACTATTTTCCTCAGATAAAAAGTGGACATTCATGCATTCATTAAAAGTGCCAGCACCAAGCCAGCTTCTAAGCTCAGGATCTAACTGCAATTAAATCTGGTTATTATACAGAAGGAAAATAACTTGACTGGGAATTTTTAAAAAAACAACTCAATGGAAAATAATTTCTGTATGGTATGCAAGATTTAAATCTAGTAAATCTAGTTCAGTGTTTGCTAATTTTGGCAATTTTAAAATATCTGGACTTCAGCATGGGGAGAAGCTTGGGAAATACTGAACTACTTGTTCCATGATAATATCTGTTCAGAAGCTATCCACAGTATTATGGTAAACCTGTGTTTCTCAACATTGACAGATTGAAGATGTGTGGACCTCAACTCCTAGAATTCTCCAGTCAGCCATGCCAACGTTGAGAGACACCGCTGTAAATAATGGCTACTTAAATGTGTTTATCATGCAGCTAACACTGTTATGGCATAGCTTCAAATGTACACTTGTTAACATCTCTGCCCAAGGAAGTTAGCTGATAAAATACAGTACAATGCTGTTTACATATACCACAAGCATATGACTTGATACAATTTAGATATTGAGAAATATGTATGCATGTTTGAATGTCCACTTGAACAAATTTGAGTTTGCTACCTGCTTGAAATCAACATCCGGAGTCTGCATAGTTTATTTCCCAGGAACTGATCCTTTTTAAAACATGCCAGTTTTGACATTATTTCTACCTGTCTAATCAAATCAAACTGGGTGATCAAAATTGCACCGGAAAATTAAAACATTACCCCATAGATAACATGCGAGAAACAGAAACTAGACCAAAACTTTGCAGTAAAAATAAACTTAAAAGAGGAACCATGCAAGCAATTGTCACACACTGGATGGTAAAGTTAATGCAGTTTTCTGCAAGTTAGAAAATGTCAGCATTCTTCGTTTTTAAAATGCTTAGGTCTCTTGTAATTTGAGGAGAATCCTGAGGAATAACTAAAACATTGCATTAATATGTCTCTAGAGAACAGAATCCATATTCTAGGCAAAACACCACTCAGCCTAACACCATGCTCAACCAGTGGGGATTAAATTATGTGGTACATGATTGGGCCTGCAATTTCCGGTCTTTATTAGAACCCAGCTCTCTAAATTCAGTGGGAACTAATTTGAAAAGTCCACTGATATTCCTTTAGACCAGTGTTTTTTCAACCTAAGCCACTTTGAAGTTGCTTGGAGTTCAGCTCCCAGAATTCCCCTGCAAGCACAGGATTCTGGGAGTTGAAGTCCACATGCCTTAAAATGGTCAAGGTTGAGAAACACTGATCTTGAGTGTCTTTAGCTGCTCCATTATGGGAGTTGCTAAAAAAAACAAAACATGTCAAATTATTCCCAGCGCACTACTGAAAAACACTGCATAGACAAGTCACTTAAAGTCACTTCCTGGGTCAGCCAGACTGAACTCCTGCATCGTTTACTTCTGAGTAAGTACGCACAGAAAGATGGAGGGCAAGAGAAGAAGGGGACGACAGAGAAGGAGGTGGCTGGAGGGAGTCCCTGAAGCAGGAGGCCTGAGCTTCAATGGACTCCAGAAGATGGCAGAGGACAGGAAGGCCTGGAGGAACGTTGTCCACGGGGTCGCGATGGGTCAGACACGACTTCGCAACTAACAACAACAACAAAGTACCCACAACTGCAAGTTAAATTGGAGGAGAAGTCCCGGCCTTTTTGCACCGCAGCGTTAGAGGCACACCGCGGTTTAACTTCCACGTGCAAACTTCCTCCCCTCGTGCCCCGAAGTTGCCCCACACAGCGGCCCCGGGAACCTTCCTTCTCCCCCCCCCTCTAAAGAGGAACCCGAGGCATGCGCAGGAAAGGGCCGGTGCAGGAAAACCACGCAGCGCAAGAAGCCCTCGGATCCAGCCCGGGAGGGTCTCCCCGCGAGGACCCAGCCCGGAACCTCCCCGCGTCTCTTTGCAAACGAAGGCGACAGGTTTCGGGGTTTCGCTCGCTCGCCCGCCCGCCCGCCCGGGTGGAGACCCTGCGCCGCCCCTTCTCCTGCGGCCGGGGAAAGAGGGCCGGCCCCGAGCCTGTCCCGGAGGACTTTTTAGGCCCCGCATACCCCCCCATACCCCCTCCCCCGTCAGCCCAGGCACTGCGGCTCCGCAGCGGGAGGGAACCCTCCGGACCTTCGGTACTCGAGGGCTTGCAAACTCGGCTCCCGCCGGAGAAGCGGCACCTTTTGGGGCAGGGGCTCCGAGCAATTGCACGCTTCGGGGAAGGAGCACGGAGGCCTGCAAACAAGCAGGCAGGCAGCCCGGGGAGGCTCCGCTCTGCGCCGCTGCGAAGTTCCCTCCCGGCCGCCCCGAGCAGACCCCTCCTCGGGAGAGGCCCGGAGGGGAAGGGGCTTCCCCGGACGCCCCCCCCCCGGCCTCCCCAACGCGGCACCCCGCTTCCCGCAACCCGCGTCCCCGGGCCAGACGGGCGCTCACTTGCCTGCGGAGTCCCCGAGGCGGGTCTCCTGCGCGCCCCCTCCCCACGGCGGCGACGGCACCAGCAGCAGCAACGGCGGCGGCGGCATCCCCTCTCCTCCGCCCCCCTCCCTCCCCTCCAAGCACCGCCCGTCCCTAGTCCGGCCACCGAGGCGGGTCCTACCCAGCGGGCGAGCCAATGAGCCCCGGCCTCCTCGCAACCGCCCCGGCGCGTCGGCTGGCTGGGCAGCCGGCGAAGGTGGAGCTTGGCTGGCAGGCAGGCAGCGGCGGGGCAGGGACCGGGCCGGCCCAGCAGCGGCAGCAGCAGCAGCGGTGGCAGAATCCTCCCGGGGCGGCCCCGTCGGCGCCAGCTGCGCGCTATTTAACCCTAAGCGCCCAGACCGCGCCCGGCCCGGAGCCTCGGCGGGCTTAAAGGAGACGGCGCTCGGCGGGAGCCGCCTGGCGCTCGCTTCCCTCTCCCCCACCCCCGAGGCAGCGGCGGGGGATGCGCGCAGGGCGAGCCGGGCAGCCTCGCCTGGCCGGAGCGGCGGGGAGGGCTGCTAAAGAGGAGGCGGAGGCGCCCCCGCGCTCCAGGCGGACTCCGGCCATGCGCGCACCGGACGGCCGGGGCTGCTCGGGGCAGCGCTCCGCTCGACGGCATCGCCTGGCCTGAGCAGCCGGACCGGCTCCGCTCCGCAGCCCGCCCATCGTCTCCGCCGCCATGGCCCGAGAGGAGTGCAAGGCGCTGCTGGACGCGCTGAGCAAAGTCACCGCCTGCTACCGGCACCTGGTGCTGACCGTCGGGGGCGCGGCGGACTCGCAGGAGCTGCGCGAGGAGCTGAAGAAGAGCCGGCGGAAGGCGCAGGAGCTGGCCGGCGTGACCCGCACCAAGCTGACGGCCGCCCTGCGGGACAAGGCGCTGGCCCAGGAGGAGCGGGCCGACTTCGAGCGCCTCTGGGTCATCTTCGCCGCCTGCCTGGAGATCCTGGAGGGCGACATGCGGCGCGCCCTGGAGCTGGGCCAGGCCTTCCCGCTCCACGTGCCCAAGAAGCCGCTCATCCAGACCGGCCTGAGCGGCGGCACCTCCGCCCTCGCCGCCCGGGCCATGAGCGTGCAGAACATGAAGTACGAAGCCGAGCCCGACATCGACGTGGTGGACCTGACGGACCTGGAGCGGGAGATCCACCAGGTGGGGGACATGATCTACGAGATGGAGATGAAGGTCAACGTGCCCCGGTGGGCGGTCGAGGCCAAGCGAGACCCCGGCGCCGAGCTGTCCACCGTTAGCGGGGGCGCTTCTTCCCTGGGCGCCACCTCGGGGGTCGAGAGCAAGACCCTCTGCGATCCCACCAGAGTCCTGGCCGGGATCATTTTCACCGCCGTCCTCCTGATGGCCATCGCCCTGGCCGTGTGCGTGGCCAAGCTCTCCTAAGGCTGGGCGATTCCTTGCAACTGGGGGTAACTTTTTGCCATCTACAGCAGCCACAGCGTGGGAACCGGGGGCTGGGTCGGCTGAAATGGGTGCTTTCCACGCTCCGCGACGGTGGATCCGAGAGAGATCGCCGCGGTTATATGCAGTATATTTATATATATATAGGTTTGAAAAGCCTGCTGGCTGGGCTTTTCACGGTTAATAATATGTGGGTATTATAACTACCACGGTAGGGATTTGACTGCTATTTATAGAAGACCGTCCTCGGGAACTGGAACACAAATGTGGTTTGTGATTAAGCTGGGATTGGGGCGGGGGTTCATGTTTACAAATGGGTAATAATTTGCCCAGGATGCAGAGAGGGCTGTGAATGAGAAGTCAAGATGAGAGAGGCGCATATATTGGTTGAAATATAACGGGCATTATCTTTGATCCTGGCTGCAGCCTCAAACGCAGAAACTTGGGTTTGTGAATGAAAAATTGAACTGAACTTTGTTGCTATGTGCAGTATATAAATCCAGATTTACGGAAGAAAACTTTCAGCAGCATTTAGAGAAAGATGAGTTATTTTCAACTTACTACTGTTTCAGGTTTGTTTTGCAGGGGACAGGAGAAAAAAACACACACCTTATCAATAGGTTCTTAGTTCCACATTAGCCAACTTTAAACACTTTACACATAAGTGTAAATCATTGTTTGAAGTCTACTGCTATACCGCTGAATCCCATGGAATTCAGTGAGATTTGATTCTGAATATGCATCAGATGACCGCAGTTTCTTTCAGGTTAGCTTTTGTGTACTGATGCTGGGACTGGTGTTGTAATTAAACTAAAATATGATAAGATCTTCAGCAAGTTCTGGGTTTTAGACATGACTTTTTCCTCCGTGTTTAGGGCTAGAGACTTAATCCTAAGGGAAGTAATTCTATTTAAACAGACAGGAGGAGATACTGAAAACTATTCATTCTAAAACGGAGACGTAAGGTTTTAACAATATCTCAGGTGTGCTTATTCATTAATACATGAGAAAATTATGGGACTCTTGAGTCAAGTTTCTATAGTTGTATAGATGGAAATAATTTAAAAGATGATGTACATCTTGAAAATTGAAGCTGTAACAGTCAGCAAAGACACAAACCTTAAGATTAACCTAAAATCTCTTGAGTTCGGATGTCGGGCCAATTATGATGATTACCTTGCTTAATTGAAAAATTATACTAGATGAGTTCCTGGCATTAATAGATAAAGGTAATCCTGCAGCATAGAGTAATCCATTATATCTAAGCTAAATTTATAGGTCAACAGCAGCCCTTCTATAGGTATGGACTACCTGCAAGTTACTGTGCAATTATTAAGAGACAAACAGGAAAATAAAGTGTCTAAATTTCTGTTTACCAATCTGTTAAGTCCATCTTATTTTACATTTGTGCATGGCTTTAGAATCAGCATACTGATCCCATTACTTGCAGTTGGACAGATGCAGTCTTGTTTTATATAACCTTTGCAAGGGAAATCACCAGATTCAGTGGGTGAACTTCTAAAAATTGAGGTTCAGTGGAATGAGTGGCTCTAATTCCTGAGAATACTTTGAGCTATGGAGCTGACACCCTATGGGTATCTTTTTAGAAATAAGATTTGTTTACAGGTAGTCCTCGACTTACAGCCACAACGGAGCCTAAAATTTCTGTTGTTAAGTGAGTCATTTAAGTGAGTTTTGGCCCATTTTATGACCTTTCTTGCCACGGATGTTAAGTGAATCAGTACATAAGTTGGTAACCCAGTTGTTAAGTGAATCTGGCTTCCCCACTGACTTTGCTTGTCAGAACGTCACAAAAAGAGATCCTGTGACCTTGGGACACAGCAATAGTCATAAATATGAACCAGTTGACAAGCATCTGAATTTTGATCGCATGATCATGGGGACGCTGCAAAGGTCGTTAACTGTGAAAAAAGGGCCAATAAGTCAGTTTTTTTTCAGGGCCGTAACTTTTGAACGGTCACTAAATGAAATGCTGCAAGCCGAGAACTACCCGTGTTTAATAGATCCGCTTTTTAGCTCCTGAATCAATATGCAAAAGAACAGGGTTGAAATGCAGAACATAAATAATTAAATTTACACTTTGAGTGGCTAGCACTAATGGATGCTGTGTGGTCAAACAAGATTCTACATTTGCAACCAAAGCAAATCTAAGTATGTTACCTCAGAAATAAATAGTCCTGCGTTCAGTAGGCAAGGAAATGCTGCATTCCCAGGTACTCTTAAAGCAGTGTTTCTCAACCTTGACAATTTTAAGGCATGTGGACTTCACCTCCCAGAATTCCACAGCCAGCAATGCTGGCTGTGGAATTCTGGGAGTTGAAGTCCACATGCCTTAAAATTGTCAAGGTTGAGAAACACTGTCTTAAAGCATCAATATATTTTGACAGTTGATTGTAAATGTCTGCTTTTTTAAGAAGGTCCTAGGTACAGGGCCGGGTGTCACAAGGATGTCAAAACTGTATTCTTTTTGGTGCTAAAGTACCCATCTCTGTTTACTGTAGTGTGATTCAAACAGCTGCTATTGTATTGTTCCCTTTCACTTGAAGAGAACATTCCTTGTTTATTGGAAAGACCCACATTTGCTCGTTAACAAGGGCTAGATATTTCTCTTAAATACGTCTCATATATTTTATGGGAGAACACCTAGACTTAAAGTGCTCTTAATAGGCTGCATGCAACACTGTTATAGGATGTATAAGGAGGAAGAAGCTGCAGAAAAATAATTGCCTAGTTGGAATGCTCCCAACACACCTTTTTAATTTGGAATTAAAACAGTATTCTTCGCACATTGAGAACTCAAGTCCAGATTAAAACCATAAATACGTCATTGCAAAATACTTATTTTCCTGAGAGTTAGGTTACTTTTATGAAAAAATTTACATGGAAACAGTTCCTAATTCTAGTAAGATTTATTTTCCTAGCAGACCTGATTTAGAAAAGTGTTGCTCGTGTCTGTACATCACTTAACTGTCTCTGCATTGTTTTTCTCTCTAAGCTATTTCTAAATTACTTCTCATCAAGTCCTGACACAGGATTGTCACCATCTAATTAATTAATATCTTCGCTCAGCTCTCATCACATCTGCTCAACACCATTGACTGTGCAATATGGTTTAGGGATAGCTGCTTTATCTCGTGTGCAAAGCTGACCAGATGCAAAGGAGATTAAGAATGGTGGCATCCTTAAATAGTACTATCGAAAAAATATCTTTTTATGGGATGTATGTGTGTCAGATTGATCTGCAGGAACTGGTGAAATAATCTAAAACATGATATGCTTCTGTTCATCCACAAAAATGTAGGAAGCTGTTCACTTTCACGTCTGCTCAAAGGTTCATGACATAGTCATTGTCTTATGTTTCTTTCTGGAAGAAAATATCTAGAAATCTCATGTTTAGGCCATACAGATCACAGAATTTTATTGCTGATAAAAGTCTGACCCACACGGAGGTTTTCTAGGTCTTAAAGCCTTCAGACTCTGATTAAATCATCAGCCCTACAACCATCATGATTACAGTGACATGATTACAATTATGTATTTATTTAAAGTTTATTTAAAGCCAAGTTGTTTTACTCTCTTAAAAAAAACTTGTTAACTGTCTTGTGTTTACAGCCATAGGTATTTTCATTGTAACAAAAGTGTACGTTTTCATTGAAAACAAAAAAAGAAAAGTCCCTTTTTAATAGGATTCTTTATTTTAAAAAGTCAAATTCTGCTGTACTTTACAAGTATGATGCAGCTGAGATTACGACAGGAGTGGTAATCGAGGAATTATGAACACTGAATGTTTGATTTTTAAAAAGTGTTAATTTCTTGCATTCCAATGATTGCTGGGTCCATATGAAAACGACTGTTTCAGTATTAATGTGAACTGGCATTCCATGATTCAAGAGTATTCTTTTATGCTCAGGATAAAACCTATTGCTATTATTTATTTAAAATAAAGCCTCTTCTATTAACTTGCCAGTCTTTTGAACAGATTGCTTTTAAAGATAAATTCCTAAACGTGTGTGTGTGTGTTGGTGAACTTCCTTAGCAATATTTATCTCTCACATATTTTCATTTCATAAAGTTATTTGGCAAGAATGCTGAATTATAGACCTTTAAATCTTTTCTTTTGCTATGTTTCTAAGCTTATGGCACCAAGCTGGGACAAAAATGCACTTTTTGCTAAACTCAACTGCGGTGTGAAGTATATCCCAAATAGCCTGTTGTACTTATTAAAAATTCAAACTTCACTCACAAATTAGGGTCCAATTGAAAGATGGCATTAAAAGAAACATTGATCCATTTTACACTTCATTTCACTTTTTTCTTGTATTCCGGTAATTACAAATGGAGTTGGATTCTGCTTCACTGCTTAAGGTGGAAGAGATGCACATTAAATTTTCTTTGTCAAGAGTTAATAGAGAGTATTCAAGCGAAGCAAAGACCACAATCTTGGACGTTAAACTTGAATACTTCTGAACATCACTGTGTAGATTCAGTCAAGCAATCAAGGAGAGAAGCAACCTAGAACTCAGAAAAAAATTCCTAACAGAGCAATCAACCAAGGAACAACTTGCCTCCAGAAGTGATGGGTGCTCCATCACTGGAGGCATTCAAAAAGAGACTGGACAATCATTTATCTGAAATGGTATAGCGTCTCCTGCTCAAGCAGGGGGCTGGACTAGAAGACCTCCAAGGTCCCTTCCAACTCTTATTATTCTATGTTCTAAGTATCTATGATGCAGAAGAATATAACACACTTTCAAATTCCTCTTTGAAAAAACCACAAAGCGTTTTGTACATTAAAATTGTGAGCCATATGATTCCCCTGGATGTAAGCNTGAAATGGTATAGCGTCTCCTGCTCAAGCAGGGGGCTGGACTAGAAGACCTCCAAGGTCCCTTCCAACTCTTATTATTCTATGTTCTAAGTATCTATGATGCAGAAGAATATAACACACTTTCAAATTCCTC